TGTGATCTATATAGGAAAATCGCAAAACACGCTGCTAACTATATTTTAACCATTGGCAGGAACAATCCCAAATTACTGTCGGAAATTGTCGAGGAAATGGACCATCTTGATAATCGTCTGAGGCATCAAACAATATCATGAAAAGTATTATGATGAACGACCCATATCGTGAGAGCATGTGCTGTTCCCAAAACGTATTTCTTAAGAAAGCTTAATAAAATCTTCAGATAACTTCAGCTTTAACGGGTTATCGTAAACAGTTATCAGTCTTTAGATGTTCTTTTTATCGTTTGCTTTCGTTGTCAATGTGATTACGAATTTAATGACATTGGTGAATTTCTAAATAGAATTAGAATTACCTTGGGTGCTCACAGAACATAACGTTACTGTGTTGAATTACGGCATCTGAGCGCAATTATATTAATCTGATTTTCCGAAAACAACAAATAGTATGGTTCAGTGTTGAATAAAGCTGAAAGAGCATGCTACTTTTCCATTATCATTTACACTTAATTCACAGTTTAATTCAGTATTTAGACAATATGATTTGTTTGGAGGATTGTATGCTTAAATTTCCTTATTACTGAAACCTTATTAATTATTGTTGTGACAGACCACCCCGTATACTTTGCTATGTTTAGTGTAAAAAGGAAATAACGCTACGCTGCATATAATCTTACCCACCTTAGTTCCCGTGGGGAAAATAGTCACACGCCCCTTCAGTATTCAGTATTTAATGTTCGAGATCATTATTGAGCAATACTTTAAGTGTGACTTCTACTTGTGACTAGTGAAGATCCGTGTTAGAATTGGAGTGAGTGGGGGTCTACGTCGCTTTTAGCAATATTCCAGCCATATCACGGCCGGTGACACCAGAAATTGGCTTTCACACATTGTACCCATGTGGGGAATCGAACCCGGGTCTTCAGCTTAACGAACGAACGCTTTAACCACTAGGCTTCCCCACCGCTCCCTTGTCGTAAGAGGCGACTAACGGGAACGGGTGGGCAGGCTCGCCGACAAGGTCGACACATGTCACCGTATCTCAAATACGTAGATCCATGCTTATGCTGTTGATCACTGGATTGTCTGGTCCGCCACCATATAGCCGGAATATTGCTCAGTGCGGCGTTAAACAACAAACAAGCAAATCTAATTGTACAAAGTTATACAAAGCGCCTGACTTTCCTGATGAATGAAGAATAGGCGTTCTGGGCCAGGAGCCAAGGAGCCATGACGTCACTGTGACCTTTGACCTTCAATATTTCTTTTGATTGGATACAGGAGCGATGACGTCGCTGTTACCTTTCACCTATAATCTTTCTTTTGATTGGATATAGGAGCCATGACGTCGCTGTAACCTTTCATCTATAATCTTTGTTTTGATTGGATACAGGAGCCATGACGTCACTGTGACCTTTGACCTATAATTTTTGCTTTGATTGAATATAGGGTACGATGTCACTGTGACCTTGACTGTTAACCTTTGTTCTTATCGGGTTATGAAAATGGCATCAACATGACCAATTAGCTTAATATCATTTAATGAGATTCATTAGTACATAATAATATCTCTTTTAATTGAAGCCTGGCTAAATGTAATTAATACTGTATATTTCTTATTCTGGCTTTGATTTAGATTGACATCTTATAATTGCGGTAATTAGCCCATATGAATAACATTTTTAATAAAGGACTGGGTGGCAAGAATACATCTATCTGCAAATAATTGCACTCGATGTGACCAGATTACACTAATCCGATTTGACGACATCATTTGATTATGCTTAAACTGTTTGCATTCCTTTCCTGATGTGGTATAAATATAAATGAATTTGATAAAATCATCATTTGTGCTTTCAACATGCCAGAAGACGGATGGAAAGAATATTTATCAAACCTATATTTTGACTCAAAACATGCAGCTTCTTTCACCGGTCCAAACAAGCTCTATTACATTGTGAAGAAGGAAGGAAAGTTTAATATCAGTTTACATCACATCAAGAAATGATTAGCTGCTCAAGATAGTTATGCACTACAGAGATCACTACGCTATAAATTCAAGCGGAACAGACTTGTGGCTACAGGACTCAATGCACGTTGGGATATAGATTTAGCCGATGTTCATAATCTGGCTTCATACAATGAAGGAGTCAAGTATCTTCTCATAGTGATCAATGTTTTTACAAGGTACTTATGGGTACAACCCTTGAAAAACCAAAAACCTGAATCTGTTTTAAAAGCCTTGATGAAAATACTTACAACAGCAGCAACATATAGGATCCTAAGATCAGACAAGGAATGTGAGTTTGATAACAAAACTGTGAAATCATTCTTGGAAAGTAAAGGTATTACTTACTATACTACACAGAATGAAACCAAAGCCAACTATGCTGAGAGAGTCATACGTACATTGAAGACGAGTATGTACAGATATTTCACTTATAGGCAGACATATCATTATTTGAATATTTTGCAAGATATAGTGTCAAACTACAATCATCAACCACATCGATCATTAAACATCGATCAGATTGCCCTCTGACATTACTGCTCAAAATGAGGCCATTGTATGGAAGGAGCAGTATATTGATCCCTTACTGAAAAGAGGTCAGAGCAGAAAGCACAAGAGGCGATTTAAGTATAAAGTCAGGGACCAAGTGAGAATATCTCATTTAAGATATACTTTTCAAAGAGATTATCATGAAAAGTGGACTGAAGAAATATTCATCATAAGAAGGCGTTATAACCGTAATGGAATACCTGTGTATCAACTGAAAGATATGGCAGATGATCACATAAAAGGGACATTCTATGAGAATGAATTGTCTAGAGCTTATAAAGCAGAGGATCATCTGTGGCGTGTAGAAAGAGTACTCCGGAAGAGAAACAGAGGTGGACAGAGAGAAGTCTTTGTCAAGTGGATGGGATACCCGAAGAAATTCAACAGTTGGATTCCAGAAGTAAATCTAGCGAATGTATAAAAAGTAGAAATTGACATGACAAGGATCATTTGAGTTGCAATCATCATGGGGTTGACATCGTGCTTGGAATGTGGTAAAACGTTCACTAGAGAAGACAATATGTTGAGACACAGGAAAATCATGCATCAGACTGAGTCTCCTCCTCCTCAGAATCTAGTTCCTCCTCCTCCTCCCCAGAATCTAGTTCCTCCTACTCCTCCTCCTCCTTAGAATCTACCTCCTTCTCAGAATCTAGTTCCTCCTCCTCCTCCTCCTCAGAATCTACCTCCTTCTCAGAATCTAGTTCCTCCTAGAAGAAATCATAGGACTGAGGAACCATTTTTCTTCCACCTACCATCCAATTCAGTGATTGTGGGGCCGAGCGGATCAGGAAAGAGCATGTTTGTATATCAAGTACTCTTACAGCAGCACATACAGCCTAACCCTAACCACATTATATGGTGCTACAATGAATGGCAGCCTCTGTATGAGGAAATACACCACAAATTGCCCCATGTACAGTTTGTGAAGGGAATTCCATACAATATACAGGAGGATAACTATTTCAATGCCTGCAATAACAATGTCCTTATACTGGATGACCACATGGTAGAAGCGAAGAATGACAAGCGTATCTCACAGCTGTTTACTCGGACTTCTCATCATAAGAACGTGCTGATCTTTCTCCTCCTACAGAACCTTTTTCCACGCGGGAGGGAATCACGTGACATTGCCCTAAATGTTCATTATGTGACCTTGTTCAACTAACCTGTGGACCGGCATCAAGTTCAGCTGTTTGCAAGACGAATCTATCTGAGCAATTCGGATCACTTTATGTCAGTCTATAGAAGTGCTGTTCAAGATTCCTATGGAAATTTAACCATAGACCTCAAGCCAACAACTTCAGATATTGAAAGGATGAAACCTAATGTGCTGAAAGAGGCTTTGGCTATAAAATGGAAACCATCACATGAACTTGATCATTCTATAAACATCAGCCAACCAGTACACATCTCCAGCGAGCAGTCATCTCATAGAGAAAAGTCACCAGCTGGCATCGCCACAAACCTGCTTCCTGAGGAATCAATCAGTGGCAGTAATACTGACGAAGAAAGTGAAGATATCATCATGCCCTCCTGTGACGAATGTGGAATTGTGTTTGAAAATAATCATGACCTTCAAAGACATGTAAGAACCTGGTGCCCAGAAAACGGAGGGGAACCATTAAGAAAACGTTTCCGAAGTGAAGTTGCTGATGCTGAGTTATCTAAGCAGGATGACTTACCCACAAACGATTCAAAGGACAGAGACAAAGAGAGGGAGACTAAAGGCCTTCAAGTACTATGGAAGGGTGCTCTTAAACATTGTAGAGAAGAACTTTTGGCTAAGAAGGAGGAGTATGAAAACAGAGGACGAAGCGAATGGTGGACTGAGAAGACGATGAAAAAGTGCTGGGAAGATGCTTTTTTAGACAGAGTATATAGAGTCGTTGGATATGGCAGCTATTTTGAAAATGGGCCACTTTTTAAACCCATTTTGGAGAGAGCCAATGCCTTGTACCCCAATACAGATGTACCTGAAATGCTAGCTAAAGTTAAACATTGGATAAAACCTCTGGCCAAGGATATCTTATCTCGGATTGATGTCACAGACTCTGAGGATCTAGAACACATGACTACGTTAGAAAATGAAGAGGAAGATGACTCAGACAAAGACATTTAATTTGTTATTATATACTCATGTTCGATGATTATGTATGAATATCCTGTTACACATTGTCTGAAAATCTCTCCATGTAGAGAAATAATAAACAAGTGTGATATGCACATTTTTCTTGATATTTGTTGTTGTGTTGTTTGTTTTTGTTTATGGTACATTGTCATATAAACATTGAGTACAGTATTTGATGAGCTGATTTACCTGTGAATCCCAATAGGTTTGCACACCTATTTGTGTTTCATAATCGGAATATCATATCATTTACACTCATAATAGAATCATAATAAAGGCCATCAAATACAACAAATAAGAAAACAATAAGAATCCATTAAATTTTATTCATTGCATATTTTTCACACATGGAATATGATCATAATGTTGATAACAAATGCCATTGACAAATCATTGATATTAGAACATGATTATTATATATAAAACATATTTAAGTCAAATTATTTAGATAACAAAAGCTCATTTTTCATATTTGGACATGATCACAAAACATAAAACATATTTGGGTCAGATTATAACAACTCTCTTTGATTTTAGAACATGATCACACTATATACAATACATTTGGGTCAAATATATTTAGATAATAAATGATCTCAATGATATTAATGCACTGGATCGGCACACACACATTACACTGTTAATATGCAGATATTTACAAACACAGTATGGCAATGAAATGGTTTCTCACATGCTAATTCTCTGCAATTTTGTAGTGGCCATGTGCTAGAGTATGAATACCATCTTCCAGCACAAAACGCTTATCATCATATGGGCTCAAGCTAATTTTGTTTTTCCTGACTGTAAAACCTGATGTTTCTCACTTTGAATTAGTCTCATGACATGACGGAGCTGGGTATGTGTGGTTAAACACTCTTTATATTGAGCATGTCTCAATTGCTTCTTGATGACCGCTCTGGTCACCCCTTTAGCTTTTTGTTTTTCCTCTCGTCTGATTGCCGGTACCATCTCCCCATCCACTTCATGCAAGTCTTCTTTTCCAAAAGTAAATGAATACATCTTTGGCCTGAGGCCGATGAATGAATTCATAACATTTCCACCTAATTCATCCTTAAATTTTCCAAGAACCTTGACATTCAATTTTGAATAGATGGGATGTGTTGGGTCATAATTGCTGGTGTCAAAATGTCATCTTTCATGTCTCTATACAAATCTTGAGTTTGAATCTGGTAACACAAGGAGTCTGTGTCTGTGAATAATAATGTTGCATTTGCTTTATATTTCGTCTGGATGTAGTCATAATGGAAAGAATACATATGAATTTTAGACAAACATAATTGCATAAGTAAAACGAAAGAGCATTGCTAAATAATACTTAAGAATACTACAACCAAATGAAAAAACAAATATCTCATAAAACAGCAAACATTAAGCTTGTAAGTCTGTAATACTCTCTCAGTGCTGTATTAGCCAGTGCTAAGGGAGATAACTGCTATCGACTGATTAGCAATGTCTTGTCTACATTAACACAACCTTGTTACATTTAAGCGTTATTCATTTGTCGTTCCCAAATGTTGGTTTCATAAAGTTAATTCATTTTACATAGAAGTTAACATATATTCTACAGACATTTTAAACAGACCTATACAAACGTTACAATGAAGGGATTTCTTTGTCCCACTTGATATATCAATGCTATATTCTATACCATATGACATCAGTTCGAACTGAGGAAATAGTAGTTTTATTGTTACAAAACACTCAAACAACACTTTTCAACATAATTTTAAGTAAAAGTTCAACCATGCTTATCTTTATAACTCAATATTATGAATAAGGCATAGCAGAGGAATACTTACACGTTACAAGTCCTGCTTGTCCTACATCCAGCCGACAGCCGATGTGGGAGCGGCCGGCTTACTCATGTTACTTCATTTAACACTTAAAGCACTCGGTGACTGGCAGACTTTGTTTACATTTCAATTCTCACCAAGGAAGTCCAACTGTACGCGGGAAACATTCAAACGTGTCTGACAAAATCACACATACTGGGAAAGTATATCTCTATTTTTCAGTCACTGTCAATGCTCATTAGCCAATCACCATTCAGCCTTCTATTGAAATCATTGTTCATATGGGCCCATAATATCCTTATAGGACAAATCTAATTAGTCAATTACCATCCAGACCTTTTTTTTTTATAAATTTTTTTTTTTTTTTCATGTGGGCTACTTAGCGTCATTATAGGATGTCATCCTGTCTAAAAACCAGGATTCCCTTGTTCAGATATGTAGTATTAATTACATTTAGTCAATCATCATTCAGGCTTCTATTTAAAAGAGATATTATTATGTACTAATGAATCTCATTAAATGATATTAAGCTAATTGGTCATGATGATGCCATTTTCATACCCCGATAAGAACAAAGGTTAATAGTCAAGGTCACAGTGACACATCATGCCCTATATCCAATCAAAGCAAAAATTATAGGTCAAAGGTCACAGTGACGTCATGGCTCCTTGGCTCCTGGCCCAGAACGCCTATTCTTCATTCATCACTTTCCTAATGAGTACGTTTCCGGAAGGTCTACACATATCATATGACTCTATATAAAAATGTATAAACATAGCTTTACAGTCTTATACTTCTGATTTTTTCTAGGTTCATATGTGTTTGTTTCATACATTACCAATAAACCCGGAACCATGATCATGTCTCGAACCCAGGGTAACAGGCAAGGGCGTCTCCGACCGCTGCGGTTAATCGTGGTTAATGTGTATAAGCGAGTGGGCCTGCCCAGTGTAACAGAGATGAACCGTCGTCAAAGGTTTTCCCCGGTGATATTTATGGAATGCGCCAACGGGTTACACCTGTGAACTTCACAAGGGTCATGGCTGTCACAAATATATTATGCAGATACAATGCGTACCTGTATGGGTGCAAATTCCATAGACTCATATTGAGTAATATTTATAAAGCTAACAAGTATTATCCAAATTTCTGTAGGGATTTCTTTGTGACAAGATGTCACACCATGTACTCAGGGGTCAATGTAAACAATCAAATCTACATAATAAACATCGCCTACTGCATGTATTGCATATACGTTATGTACATGTATGTCAGATCAATAACGCATCGGCCGTTCAGGCATTCTTTTCATTTAATATAATGTGTGCATGAACAGAAGCTACACTATCAGTTGTGATGGTCATTATACTATAAATATTGTCTTTATTATCAACTATGACACTTTACATTTAGTTACTGTTGATACAAACTCTCCGATGTTTTACAAAGGAAGGCTGAATACTTGAATCCCTGTCTTGATTGTTATGTTTTACAGATTCAGATTAAAAAAGCAGCAGAGAGGGTTCGGGTGATCCTGGCACAGTCAGGCTGGTAAGACACATCCTCAGCTCAGGGCCCTTGCCCCTTCTACAAGCAGGCCACACAGCGAATGGGACTTCTCCCAGGAAACGCTGGACAGGCGAACCCATCAAGAACCTTCCGGAGAATATGTAAATTCCCCAACAATGCCGCAGAATGCAGCCTTCTTTCTTTAACGGTTTGAGATGATAAAATCCCATTGAGCACACACCGTGGAAATGAGGCAACCTTTTCAACGTTTAGTTAAAAATAAATCTGATGCAATATTAAGAAATATATTGACCATTCACCTACATCACTGTTCCGGTGGTATAATGTTATTCAGGAAAGCAAGCATGTTCTTACGCGAAAGCAAAGTCTCTAACCCAACTGATACTCATTTTCGTACATTGTGACAGAAAATAATAGTATCTATCTATGATAATATCAGCTGTAATATAATATTTTCGTGGAAGACGGAAGTGATGAAGTGTCAATTATGTGTTATCACGACACACTACGTTTCCAAGGTAAATCTATTTTTAGACCGCGGGCCTGCCCATGCTCAGTCAACCGTTACCATAACAAATCTCTCATTGATGAATTCAACTGAGAGGTAAGCAAGCACAACATATACTTCGTGTAGCCGCACAGGGTGAATTCATGTTTCCTCATGTTCAAACAATATTATTTCCTGTCACAATGGTAGTATATACCATAATATCTTAGGACGATACGAATGTAGTGTTTCTAATCACGAATTAGTCAGCATTCAAGCTCATAAGCCTCGGAGTTTCCCTACCTACTGGCGACAGAATAGGTATTCATTTTACAGCCTGATGAATACAACTTTACTTGGCAAATTGCTTCCATTTATTCTGTATTATCCTAAACGAGTAGCAATGTAAAGAAATAGGACGATGGTCGCCTTGAAGAGAAACGTGCTCCGTTTGTTAATACACATGCCATTGTATTGAGTCATGCTTTCTTATTGGTTTTGTTTGACACTGTTCAGAGCGGATACAGAACAACTATCCAGGGTGGATACATGATATATACTGTTTTGAATTGGTCAGGGTTGATACATGACATGTACTGTGCTTGAACTGACCAGGATGGATACATGACATGTACTATGTTTGAACTGGTCAGTGTTGATACATGACATATGCTATGTTTCAACTGACCAGGGTGGATACATGACATGTATTATGGTTGATCTGGTCAGGGTGGATACATGACATGTACTATGTTTGAAGTAGTCAGGGTGGATACATGACATGTACTATGTTTGAACTGGTCAGGGTGGATACATGACATGTTCTATGTTTGAACTGACCAGGGTGGGTACATGACATGTACTATGTTTGAACTGGTCAGGGTGCATACATGACAGATACGATGCTTGATCAGGTCAGGGTGGATACATGACATGTACTATGTTTGAACTGGTCAGGGTGCATACATGACACGTACTATGTTTGAACAGACCAGGGTGGATACATGACATATACTATGTTTGATCTGGTCAGGGTTGATGCATGACATGTACTATGATTGATCCCGTCAGGGTGGATACATGACATGTACTATGTTTGAACTGGTCAGGGTGGATACATGACATATACGATGCTTGATCAGGTCAGGGTGGATACATGACATGTACTATGTTTGAACTGGTCATGGTTGATACATGACATGTACTATGTTTCAACTGGTCAGGGTGGATACATCACATGTACTTTGTTTGAACTGGTCAGGGTTCAGACATGACATGTACTATGTTTCATCTGGTCAGGGCAGATACATGACATGTGCTTTGTTTGAACTGACCAGGGTTCAGACATGACATGTACTATGTTTCAACTGGTCATGGTGGTATCCACACTGACCAGTTCAAACATAGCATATGTCATGTATCCACCCTGGTCAGTTCAAGCACAGCACATGTCATGTATCAACCCTGACCAATTCAAAACAGTATATACCATGTATCCACCCTGGATAGTTGTTCTGTATCCGCTCTGAACAGTGTCAAACAAAACCAATAAGAAAGCATGACTCAATACAATGGCATTTGTATTAACAAACGGAGCACGTTTCTCTTCAAGGCGACCATCGTCCTATTTCTTTACATTGCTACTATGTTTGAACTGACCAGGGTTCAGACATGACATGTACTATGTTTGAACTGGTCAGGGTTCAGACATGACATGTACTATGTTTCAACTGGTCAGGGTAGATACATGACATGTGCTATGTTTGAACTGACCAGGGTTCAGACATGACATGTACTATGTTTCAACTGGTCAGGGTGGTATCCACACTGACCAGTTCAAACATAGTACATGTCATGTATCCATCGTCCTATTTCTTTACATTGCTACTATGTTTGAACTGACCAGGGTTCAGACATGACATGTACTATGTTTCACATTTATTTCACGTATTTCTTCTTAAATTTGACTAAAAGACTGTTTGTAACATCAAAATAAAGTGGACATCGGAATAAAACCTGACATTCATCCTCAACACACTCATCACAATTAAAACACACACGTTGGTTCAGGGGCATGTTGGTGTATCGACCCGTCTCAACACAGAGCGGTGTGACTCCTCAGCGGAACATGTCTGGTGCGCGGCGATATGACCAAGGGAGGCCACTCTGTAGAGACACGGCTCAACTCCATATGGGAATACAGTCTCAACTTGTTCTTCCAAACCCTCCGCTTAATGTTCTCCTGATTGACTGCAACATTCCTCTCCTGCAAATAGTTTGGCATCACTTTCTGCTCAACCTCTGATATTAAAAAGCGTATGGAAAAAGTATTTCCAATAAGGATAAAATCTTCAAGATATATAGTTCTAAATGTTCTGTGTACACGCTGATGCCATTTCCGCTTACTAAACACAGCCTCAGAATGGGCCCACTTGAACACATTAGAAGATAATCTGTTCGGGTTTTGATCGCATGATCGCTTGTAAAATCGAGCAACACTCTTCCATTGCCGGACAACCCTATATCACCTGATACAGCACAGCTTCATCACGCCCATAAAGTACCTCAAGCTTGGTTGTGAACAGCGTTTATGGCTGGGATATGACGTTCCTAATATTGAAGCACCGTAGTCGATAGTACCCCATACCGTGGAGTCGTACAGTTTGGTAAAATCCTGTGCTGCTTGCCTCCCAGGAATTTACACTTTGATTTGAGGAGTGCCATGCTGGCTGCACCTGTCACTGCATTTCCCATCCGGGTGTAGTTCATATGGTCTGTCAAGGGTAGGCCGAGGTGTTTGAATTGGCCAGGGTGGATACATGACATACATGATATTTGACGCATACTGTGTTTGAATTGGTCAGGGTGGATACTTGACGCGTCCTGTGTTTGAATTGATCAGGGTGGATACATGCCGCGTTCTTTTTTTGAATTGATCAGGATGGATACATGACGCGTTCTGTGTTTGAATTGATCAAGGTGGATACATGACGCGTCCTGTGTTTGAATTGATCAGGGTGGATACATGACATGTACTATTTTTAAATTGATCAGGGTGGATACATGACGCGTTTTGTGTTTGAATTGGTCAGGGTGCATACATGACATGTACTGTTTTTAAATTGATCAGGGTGGATACATGGCGCCTAGTGTGTTTGAATTGGTCAGGACTGATACATGACGCGTACTGTGTTTGAATTGGTCAGGGTGGATACATGACGAGTACTGTGTTTGAATTGGTCAGGAT